TTTTAATAGGATATCAGGTGCATCGAATATAGTTAAAGGCTCCAAATGGACTTGTATTATTTTATCAAATAACACAAAATTATATTGACGATACAAAATTATATATTGACGATACACTTTATTTTAACAAATTCAAAAGAAATTTGCTTAATTTTAAAGATATCCGCTATAATGGATATTACATTGAGACGATGCAACAAAATAATGTTAAATATATTTGCATAACTTCTATTGTATCGTCTTGAAGCAGATAAAAAAATTTCCATGCACTCCCATCTGGCATGTATTATGCATTTATAAAAATGGTTGAATCAAATATTATCACTAACCAGAAGTTCGTTAATCCAAAAAAATTATACTTTGGCATGATCGATTTGAACATCTAGGAGTAATAATGATGCATCAAATAATAAACAACTTATATGAATATCTTTTAAAGAACTAGAAGATTCTTTTACCTAATAATTATCCATGTGTAGCTTGTTCGGAAGGTAAGTTAGTCATTAGACCTTCGGCTACAAAGGTCAATATTGAATTTTCAACTTTCTTAAAAAAAATTCATGGAGATCTATGTGGGCCAATACACCCACCATGTAGATAATTTCGTTATTATATGGTATTAATTAATTCTTCTACTAGATGGTCATATGTTTGCATACTTTCAACTAGAAATGTAGTTTTTGCTAGACTACTTGATCAAATCATAAAATTACGAGCTCAATTCCCCGATTACTTAATCAAGACTATTCGTCTTGACAATTCTAATGAATTTAAATCGGAAGCATTCGATGATTATTGTATATCAATTGGGATTGTTATTGAACATTCGATTGCACATGTCCATGCACAAAATGATTTGGCGAAGTCATTTATTAAGCGTCTACAACTTATTGTTAGATCATTACTTTTGAAAACAAAACTCTCAACTTCTATTTAGGGTTATGTCATATTTCATGCTACATCATTAGTTCGTATCAGACCAATTGCATATTATCAATGCAACTTTCATTTGGTCATAAACATAATATTTCTCACTGCGGATTTTTGCTTGTGCTGTTCAAATCCCTATTTCATCCCCACAACGGACTAAAATTGGTCCCCAGCGAAGACTTGAAATTTTTGTGAGTTTTGTTTCACCATCTATTATTAGGTATCTATTACCTTTAACGGGTGATTTATTTACTGCACGTTTTGCATATTGTTATTTTGATGATATAACTTCCCAACTTTGGGAGGGACTACATCCTGATAAAAAGGTAAAATTTCTAGAAATGAAACAATTTTATATCACTTTGATCCCCACAGCAATCAATGTGAGCAAAATATTCAAAAAATGATTCATTTGAAAAGAGTTGCAATCAATTACCAGATGTATTTGTTGACACACAAAAAGTGACAAAGTCATATATACCAGCAGAAAATATTCCAACAAAAATTGATGTCCCTACAGGGTAATTTGTTGTAATAAATGAATCTCAAATACGTCAGAAGCGTTGTCGACCAATTGGTTCAAAAGACTCTATACATCAAAAAGGAAAAGTATAAGAGAAAAATCAATCAAAACTTCAGAAGAAGTAACATTAGTAAAGATTTATCAATCAAATATTGAAAATATGATTCCTGAAGAACCATAAGTGTTCGAAAGTAATGAGATTTCAATAAATTATATGTTATCTCATATATTATGGGAACTAAATAATGTTGTTATAGACAATGTATTTGCCTTTAACGTAGCTCTTGATATTATGCAAAATGAGGATCCTGAACCACAATCTGTTAAAGACTGTCAACATAGAAATGATTGGCCAAAGTGGAAAGAAGTCATACATGTGGAATTGAATTTTTTAGAGAAACGGAAAGTGTTTAGACTTGTAATTCGAACACCTGAGAATATAATCTTTGTTGGATACAAATGAGTTTTTGTACGAAAGAGAAATAAAAATAATGAAATTACAAAATACAAAGTCCGACTTGTAGCTCAAAGTTTCTCACAAGACCAGGAATTGATTATGAAGAAATATATTCTCCCGTAATGAACAGCATTACTTTTAGATTCTTAATTAGTTTGGTTGTCTTTTAGATTCTTAATTAGTTTGATAGTGTCACAAAGACTCGATATGCGCCTTATAGATGTAATGACTGCTTATTTGTATGGTTCACTTAATAGTGACATATATTTGAAAGTCCTTGAAGGACTTAAAGTACGAGGAACAAATGATACATGCCTAAAAATCACGTTTTTAATTAAATTGTAAAGATCATTATATGGATTGAAATAATTCGGACACATGTGGTATAATCGCCTTAACGAATATTTGTCTAATGAAGGCTATAAAAATGATGATGTTTGCCCATGCCTTTTCATAAAGAAAATAAATATTTGATTTGCAATTGTAGCGGTTTATGTTGATAATTTAAATTTAATTGGAACTTCTGAAGAGTTCAACAAAACTACAAATTATTTGAAAAATGAATTTGAGATGAAAGATTTAAAAAAAATAAATTTTGTCTAGGGTTGTAAATTTAGCACTTCCCATATGGATTATTTGTTCATCAATTTACATATAAAGAAAAAGTCTTAAAACACTTTTATATGGATAATGCACATCCATTGTCATCACATATGGTCGTTCGATCATTTAATGTAAAAAATGATCATTTTCGTCCACTTGAATATGGAGAAAATGTTCTTGGTCATGAAATATCATATCTTAGTGCAATTAGAGTATTAACTTATCTTGCAAACTATACTCGACCCAACATAGTTTTTCTATAAATCTCCATACACGATATAGCTCTACACCAACACAAAGACATTTGAATGGTGTTAAAAATATTTTTCGTTATCTAAAAGGTATTATTGATTTGGGATTATCTTATTCTAAAAAATCGGGATCTACTTTAATGTGATATGTAGATTCATGTTATCTCTCCGACCCATATAAAGTTAAATCACACACATGATATGTATTTATACATGGAGGAAGAGCTATACCATGGAGATCTGTGAAGCAATCCTTGACGGCAACATCCTCAAATCATTATGAAATTATTGTAATCTATGAAGCATGTGGAAAATGTGTATGATTGAGAAACATAACCCATTATATCCAAGTATCATGCAAATTAATTTCAACAAAAGATAATCCAACAATTTTGTATGAAAACAATGCTTCTTGTATTGCAAAACTCAAATGAGGTTATATCAAAAGTGATAAGACGAAACATATTTCTTCAAATTGCTTTCATAAACATGAATTTCAGAATAATAACGACATCGATATTCAACAAATTTGCTCAAGTGACAATGTGGCTGATTTATTTACAAAAGCATTGTCAACATCTACATTCAAGAAATTGATTCACAAAATTGGAATGCGTCGATTCAAAGATTTTTAGTGATCAACATCAGGAATAGTAGCTATACTCTTTTTCCTTCACTTATGTTTTATTCTACTAAGTTTTCCTAACAAGGTTTTAATGAGATAGCATTTATTTTTAATACTCCAAAATAACTGTACTAGCTTTCCTTCATTTGATTTTTTGTCCCATTAGATTTTTATTAAACAAGGTTTTAATGAGGCAGATATTTTGTATGTGTCATTTAAGGGGGGGCGGGGGAGGTGTTGTAAATGGTAAATTTATTAGTGAATGACAATTATATCCTTGCAGCCCTATAAATTATTACCATTGTATCCATAATCCTGCCTTATAAATATAGGGTTTTGATTCTCATTATAATATACACATGTCTATTGACTTTTATTTTCTCTTCTCTTTTTCTCTCTTTTCACGGCATTCTTCATCTTTTTCATTCATACTTCATCCAACAAACATGATTCGAGCTTGTATAGAATGTCTTAAAAATGTTTATTGACGTTAAAAATCACCAACAATCAAATCTGTGAGAATCTCCATATGTCGTTGATTCTGAGACTGACCCACAAAAGAATACCCGTCTAAGAACTTATTATGCCTTGACAAGGTTATTATCACTTTCTAGAAGAGGTGGATTAACAAAAACTAACAACATCCTTTGTGATGGTTAAGGATCTTGTTAGGTGGAATTTTCACTCAATGCAGCGAACGAATGACGGAAAATGATTCATGTAGTTGAGTTTGGTAAAAAAATTGGAATGACAAGGGAGTTTAAAGTTGAAACTGAAATCAAAGTTTTTGTCCCCACAAAGGGAATTTTTTGAGCTGGACATGAAAAGATTCATCAAGTTGCAAGCGTGTACTCCTTGACTAGTCATAAAACATCTTCAATAACCTTTCTGCAATGTCACATTCTGAGTTTCACGTCCGGTTTTCTCCAAGACCAGAAGGGTAATTTTACAGGAGTTGTATCTATCTGTCGATTTGTTTAAACACTCTGTTTGATCCACATTCTTATAAAAATTCATTTTTTTCAAAATTCATTTTTAACCACACATTTTTAATAAAATAATATTACGCGTAAATTCAAAAATTTTCTTATTTTTTAACCACATATTTTCCATCAAATCATTATTTAAAATGCATTCTCCACTCAATAATGTGCATCAAACAATGACTAAATGACAAAAAGAATTTTCTTGAAAAATGTGACCTGTGTTGTATTTTTCAGTACGAGATTCAGTATCTTCAGTGATAGAGCACCGGAGAGATTTTATTCATTTGAATTAGCGAATTCAGCGAACTGCCCTTTTTTTCTTGGCTTAAAAGTTAGAAGCGAAAAAAAAAAATCTAACTGCTTCTTTGGGCTTTTTCGGCAGCATGAAGAATTGTATTGCCGAAAAAAGACTGATATTGACTTTTAAGTTAGGCCGTACATCACTAACCAAAATCAAACTCCTCTGAATTCATGTGAAGAAAAGATCAAACTACATTGAACAGAAAAAGAAACAGAATATTTATACAAAAAACATATAGAAGCTCATTCATAAAACTAAGAGAAGTCGGAAACAAGGATAAGCCTACTTACGAAAGGGTGCATCCAGTACTGTCCTGTATGCATACTAAACATGCACAAAGCGGCTAAAAAGGAGAGATTTTCGTGCCACTACCCTGCAGGATCACTTGAATGCAGTGAAAGATTAAAATCTTGTTTATTGTACTATTCAGTCCAGTCCTATACAACGTACCAGACATGAACAACTAGTCTGAAAAGACGAGATTTTCAAGTCACTACCATGAAGTCCTGGATCTCTTGAAGGCAGTTGAAGGTGGGCTAATCTGTGGAACAGCATACATATTGTCATCACTCCATTTTTTGCTAGATTTGATGCTGGACATTTCCTTGGAATCCTTGAATCCATTCGGGGTGGCATAGACCATCTCTAAAGAAGGATATAAAGGAGGGGATTGGGGGACCCAAACCCCCATATTTTCTTGGGAAATAGAGTTCAGATTATTAGCAAGATTAGCATCCCACAAAGGTTGAACATCACTGTCTCCACTCTGTACAATTCAAATGAACTCAAATCAGTGAAAAACATTCGAATATGTTAGAAATATGTAGATGCAATGAATTATCTAGCCTAAAAGATTAAGGTGTAAGAGGGGTGTAAAATTGTTTATCAGCACTTCTTCTTTTTCAATTTTTTGTCAATAGACCGACTCGTGCACAATTTACATAAATGGGCAGTGGATCGACTCAATTTTAGAATCATTGTCTGCCCTAATACTGATGAACTATCTCTTCTACAATTTTAAAATATGATGAAATAGGCATTTCTCACCTTGAAGAAACCACAAGGAGAATCAAGAAAATCATCAACATGCCATCCAGGTAGAATTTCCATGAGATATTCTGATATGCTACTTGTTGAACTTGAACCATTATTCCCACCTCCATTCATCAATTGAACACTACCTCCACCTCTATCAGCGATTACCGCCTTGACCGGTTCTAAGGTGGTGTTTGATATTGTATTTGTTGGCTTGACAGGGACAGGCTTATCTGTTAAGGTTTTTTCACCTTTGATAAGTGGAACAGTTTCAGAAACATTTGTTAAGGTAGAATCTGATGATGAATAAAGGGCAGAGGTTGCAGAAAGCTTGACTCCAGTGAGAAGCAATCTGTTGTGCTTCTGAATTTTCTCATTTGCTTTGTGTATTGATATATCACACACTCTGCATAGAATTGCCCTATCTTGTTGACAAAACAAGAAGGCCCTCCTCTCCTGTAAACACACAACATCAAATCAACAAAATAAAAGTCGAACTACCTCGTCTAAAAGGTCAAGAGACGAGGTCAAATTGAGCAGAGGTCATGAGATCAAATCTCACTGTCATGACATATAGGCCTTCGATGAAAAATGAATCCAAAGCATCTCTAACAACTTAAGTTTTTAGACGAAGTAGTTCCCCAAGAAAAATCAAGATTTCATTATATATATACCTGACAGATATCACAAATGGGGGCTTGTTTAGGTGAAGGGTGGAGTAGGCAGAAACGTTGGTGTTTTTCGGCAAGTTTGTTGGCATGGTGGACACGATGGTCACAGGCGGCGCAGAGGGCGGCGTCATCAGCCACGCAGAACACCGATGCCTCATCATTGCTACACACATCACATTGGATCTTCATTTTATTTGAAATTTTTGTGATCGAGATTTCTGTACTTCTGTCAAATAACAGGTAGAAGCATCAAGAAATAAGGAAGAGAGGGGTTGAAATTTGTAGGAAAGAGAGAAGGGGTGGGATGGGTTAGGGCCAGGGGGAGTGGGGAGTGGGGACTAGACAGAGGTGCAGTTTTATTTAACCAATTCTATTCTAATAATAGAAAGCAAATGATGATTTTTATTATATATTATGGAGTATAAATAGCAAGACAGGGGACATTAGAAAGTGGCTCACATGGACCTATTAAAGGTTAGTTGTGCATTGTAATGAAAAGGTGGAATTTTAAGTCTGTGTATAGAGCAAGTGTGAGAGATAACATAGAATTTGAACAAAATTTTGTTTTTGTGATTTTCTAAAGAGAAATTGGCACATGTAGTTTTCAGTATTTGAGTAATCATTTAAATTTTTCTGAGACGTGATTCAAAACTTTCAAATTTTGCAGCTTGTATGACGAATTTAGTTCAAAAAATATGAGAATTGGTTTATATGCAGATGATGTGAGGGGAATGACTTCTCCTTTTTCTTATTTATTAGAAATGATATTAGGTCTAACTCAACCTAACAAAACTGACTTGTATGGGAATGATTGATCTCACCTTATTAAGCAGATCGTGTTAATGTCACCAACCAATGTGGGATTCTAATATTATTTTCTAAATAATCAATCATACCTTTAGAGCAATATCGTTCTCACATGAGATCTATGTGATTAGTTAATAGAATTTTTGAACGGAAACTGATGGTGGAAAGTCCAATGCTACTAAAAATTTGAGGTTGCGTACTTGAAAGCCAACAAAAATTAGACAAGGACTCAAGTGGTCTTTCGAATATAAAATGGAAGTTATAGGTGTCAATTTCCCTTCTTCTAAAGATATGTTCAAAGGTGTCTAAAAAAAGTTGAGTGCCTCACAATCAAAGAAGATCCAAGGATCATAAGCATTATTAAATTCCCGTTTGGTGCACATTTTGAAGGTAAGAATGCATTTTTACTGTTGATGTGATGGGGAATATGTGGTTGAAAAAGAAGAAAAAGTTTTTGATGTGATTGATGCACATTAAAATAGAAAGAATGCAATTTTTTTGTGATGTGATGTGATGGGGAATATGTGGTTGAAAAAGAAGGAAAAGTTATTGATGTGATGAAAAATATTATTTTATTGAAAAATGTGTAATTGAAAATGAGTAGAAGAATGAGAATGAAAAAAAATAATGTAGACCAAACAGGGCCTAAGAATTTTTTGTTAGAAGTAATTTGATTGTGTCGAAGTTTTATATTAAGAGAGAATCATTTGCAACTCATACAAGATGTAGTGCAATGTCCATGCCGTAAAGATAGAAGACTTCAACGACGTATATACCATGAAATGAATTGGATCCAATACGATTTAAGAAGAAACATATTTAAGATGTTATTTTTTATCGTGTCTAATTGAATGGATCAAATATCTCTTTTTCATGTAATTCTTTTAGGTTTTGTTACATGTACATTAAAGTTTACACACTGTCGTGCATAATGATGTTCACGTAGAATAATTCCCATCAAACAGCAAGTAGCCGGTTCATAGTATGGGGGGCCTGAATTACACCAAAATTTAAGGACATGAAGACACATTTCGCTCTATAAAGCAAATTAGCTAATTAACTCTAGCCTTTCACAATTGTTAATTTATTTAGGTGCTTCAATTATATATAAAAACAAGCACGTGCACACGTGTATCCTCCAATCTCGAGAGCATACATAAAAGGTAGGATAACTTGTCGCGATTTTCACTTTCTAATTTTTAACTCTATTACAATAGTTAAATAAGAATCTAACATATTTACCGAAGTTGATCAAGTGTAAAATTGTCGCATATCGAATCATGTAGAGCTTGAATGAACAATTCATAAAATATTCTCAATTGTCGTTATACGAGTAAGCAGCTCTTATAAACTCTATTTCAATCAATATTTTTGAGTTATCCTATCTTATTTTAGTGGTTCTCAATTTCGTTATACGCAGAAAAGGTTAGCGTTGATTTTACTGCAAAGGGCTATATCGAGAAGCTAAGCATGGGACTCTCTAGAGCACTATAAATTAATACCAAAAAGCAAATAAAAGTACGATCATGCTACTTGAACCTTCAGAGTTGACATCCCAGATGATATTTCCCTCACAGTGGGGGTTTGTGCCTAATAAAAAAAATCACGACCCCCTCTATATCATAGGAGTGTCATTCGAAATGTCAACTCATTGTATAAGTAGCATAATTGATAAAAGTAAGGTCAAATGAATTTGCCCACTTCTTTTTATATTTTCTCGAGTAATGGGCTATTGGTGGGTCGCCCAGAATGGAACCCTACGCGTGCGTCTCAGTATTATCATTTTGTTTTTTGAGGCTTAGAAAGTTTAATTATAAGTTAATTTAGTCCAAGCAATAGAGGTGAAAATTAATTTTTAATAAATTTTAATAAAATATGTGGTTGAAAAGTTGTATGTCCTATAAAATATGTGATTAAAATTAATTATTTACTTTCACTTAGATTAAAATCTAAATTTTAATCCCTACATATGAATGGCTTATGTTCCCTTTCAGATATTTGATAATGTCCGACCCCATCTTGCTTCTGTTTGCTTCTCATTGACAGGTGACATTTTGTTTTTCGTGCAATAGCCAATGACAAATTGCTAACACCACATTCTATAAATAATAGTGTAAACAAAAGTGTATATGTAGCATCTCACATTTTACTAAAGAAAAAATGTTAAAAACACAAAATTCAAAGAATTTAAATCATGCTTAAAGTTTAAGAAAACGATGGTTCAACATTTATTAAATTTGATTAATATAAAAATTGTATGGTGAGTGACTTTTGTAATTCACTTTTAAATTTGTTCCATAATTAAATTTATTTGTTTGCGAATGTTAATTATTGTCTTAATTACATTTTAAATAGAAAAGTATTGTGCTAAATTACATGAGGCATGACCAAATTAGAAGAAGGACCACTTCTTTGACAAGGTCACAAAGAGGTTGTCCTTTATGTCCCCTAATAAATGAATAAATTAAATTTGTAGCCCAAATGCCAATGTATGGGCATGTGAGGTCCATTTATAGGGCAAGTAGGTATTCGACAACGCGACCTCTACGATACTATAGAAGATTAAAGAAATTAAAATTTTGTGAAAAGAGATTGCATGTGAAATGAAAAGATATGCAACAATTGAAATCTAATAAAATAATCAATAAAGCATGGTGGTACAAGAAAATTGGGAGCAGCTAAGAGAGGACAAACAACACTTTTTCATGAGCAGACTTGCTAAGATTCGGTAGATTCATGTGAGATGTCAGCAACATTATAAATCATAGTATGAAAGACAAGAATGAATTAGTTCTTATAATTTTAAACTAGATGGATGGTTATTTGATATGCTATATATACCATTTCAGTTTTAATGGCCGAGCAAGGCCAAGCCCCTTGGTCAACAAGCCGATCCTAGCTTGCCTAATAGACCGAACCAAGCTGGCTCCGTTCGCCCACCGCCACCCTGATCCAAAAAGCTAAAGCCAATAATAAAATGAGTCGAATCTCAGCTGAGTTGATACCTTTAGAAGCCTCGGTAAGTCAAGGCTTCGCAAATAATTAGCCCATAAATCTGAAGCCAGTAATAAAAAATCCACGAAAGGCAAGAGAAATGAGTTACACCTCATCCGAGTTACCCTCGTACTTAGCCTTCAAGGATACGCCTCAGTCAGTCAAAGGCGTAAGCCTTGACAGATGGTAGTCAAGGCTTAAACTCCGAGATTTTTCAAGAAAACCTCACTTGAGGTGAACCTCAAAGATAAGTCTCAAGACAGCTTCATCACAAATTTTAAAATCCTAGAGTAGATAGATGATAATAAGCAATTTATCAAAGGAGTTGAGCAACCTAGAGCCGAGATATCAAAATCGTTTTGAAGATTTTACAGTTGAAACATAAGCTGCAAAAACCACACTCAAGCAGAATGTCAAGCCATGATGTGACTGAGACATGGCTTGGACTCCAGAGGGAGACATCAATAAGGAATGTAACATGAGGACATTCTTGAGAAAACTTTTGTGCATACCACGATGTAGTAATCAGTCTTTAGGGAAATATTTAGAATTTTCATAAGTCGAATAAAACATAAACGTACCCTAATCAGTTGCACGATAATTACACAATTCAGGTAACTTTTTGTATTAGTCAACCCAACCCAACCCAACTCAACTCTGTTAAGACTCGAAAGAGATGTTAGAGAATGCACCAAACTTTACTGCTTCTGTACTGAAAATTTCAGTTTATAAGAAACTGAAGAGCCACCAAACTATCCAGCTACCTTTTACTGTTGTATGATTCAAACTAAGATCTAGTCTTCCTAATTTAGAAAACTTACCTACTCCATCTGGATCTAGATTAGCTATGCATCAGAGTCAAGGTATTTGGTGAAAAAACATAGCACCTTCTGAATATCTTAGGCGAGTTCAACATCTACCCGAAGGTTTGTGCACCTAGAAAAAGCTTCCTCTCATGCGAGTTTGATTTGATTCAAACACATACGTCAATCCCTTTACCTGCAAATGTCTCAATTTGTATTAGATGAATGAATCAAAATTTCTACATTGTAGTGAAAAATTAATGATTATATATGTTTCATGGAAGTGTGCAGTAACGGCAATATTTTTGCATTCATATGCTGGTATCATTGCAGATTCTCGTCATGATTCCAGCACAGTGACCTAGAAAACATAGCAATTTCCTCCTTGGGATCTTACAAATCTTTCTAGAAGGTCGAATGTTGGATTAACAATTGGAAACTATGTGTAATACTTTTCATAAGTTAAATCATAAAATTGTAAATTTATATATTCTGTCTTTGTCTATACGTTTATACTCTTTTTATCTTTTAACAAAATCAATTCTTTTCTTAGTTCCGAGTTTTGATCATGAAATCTTACAAATTGGAGTAGTATTTGTTATAAGAAAGTAATTAGAAAGTAATTTCAAGTTAAACTAGATATTACACTGTCCGGGAAGGAAAAATATAGTATAAATCTTGGAGTTTGAGTCTCTCGGTGTCCGACACGACACGACACAACACATCGGACACGGCCCCGCAGCATCAGTCTCTCAAGTTGAATAGAAAAAATTAGCTCATGGACAAAGTCCAAGTACGAAGGAGCAAAAGGTTTGAGAGACTTTAAAGTCGAGCAAAATTAATGCTCTACTGAACTTGCTGCTGAATTAATCGAATAACTGAATTACTAACCGTGTCAGGACTAGCTTTGAGTTACACTCCAGTTTCATGTTCCCTAGTTCCCAAAATTGGTATTCGATATATTCCCTCTTAACAACCTTGCAAAATTAAAGAAGAAAAACGTACTATTCACTTTATGTACGATATTAGAAGGTGATGACTTGCCTAAAAATACCATATATTGATATATTGCATCTACACAATCAATCAGCGCAGAAGGGAAAATTAGCAAAGAAGGTAACTTCAGTGAAGAGTTCGAATTTGCTGCAATTTAATGCCACGAAGGAAGATTGGAACATGAACAGAGATTCCAAATGGACACATTAAGCATAAACAGACAGTTCATATATCAAAAACCAGGCAGAACATATCATTATTTTGTAAGCAAACAAATTCGTACCTCAACAAGGCATCCTGAATTAAGATTTACACTCTGTTTAGGTGCTATTTCTTTGCCATTGACATGAATAGAAATTTTTCCCAAGTTCTTCAAATGGAACAATCCAGATGGGTCCATCTCTATAATAGCCTAATCAGAGGAAGAAAATGAAACAATTGAACACATCAGTTTGTAGGCATAGCTACATAGGATATCACACAATGGAGCTTGGCTTAACCTTGCAAGACCAACACGTAAGCATGGTCTATTAAGCTGGTAGATTTTTTTTATATTTATTAAGCTGGTAGAATTGATGAAAAAGAAACCCAAAACTGCAAACCACCCAAAATGCAATTTTCTCAAACTTAAAAGTCCAACCAACGGAAGGCTGAGAATTAATAGCATGTTTCGCGAAGCTTAAAATTACCTTAACCAACTTTTTTTCCAAAATGTTTAAGGTTTAGAAGTTAATTTTTTTCTTTGGATTTCCAGCACAATATCTTACTTTTATTGACTGGTAAAGACTGGCTGTGAAAAAATAGTAAGTTTATTATTTAACTTGGCAAAACATGCTGTTAATAGAACTAAGTTAAGAACAACAAAGAAGTCAGTGCATGCTCAAAGTCAGATTGTATGGCGACTTTGGCACCTATTAGCTACATATTAAACCATAATCAGTTATCAATTAATTAAACTTGGATCGACGGCAAACAAGTAAGGATTTCTAATTCATCAATGTTTTTTGTTATTTTCATCAACATTAGGGTACAGAATCCACGTCTTTGAACTTTATTTTTTTACTTCAGGGACAAAAGGATGGAAACGATTATTTTATGACAATTGCAACAGAACCGAGAATATAAAATCAAGATGCTATCTTCCTACAAATTCTCCAGGGATAATTTAACGGGGATTTTTCCTGTTGTGTTACAAATTTGTAAATACTTTTATAGCATGTATAATTTCAGTTGTCACTAATTAAACAGTATGAATTTCCTTCATCCATCGAAACTAATTGTGGCGAAGGATATAATATATATTCACCTCCAATCATTCTTATCTTGTTCTTTACGAGTTTAGAAGGATCATGTGATTCAGCCAGGAGTTTATACGGAAACAGCGAATGAAGTGACATGCATGACAAAAAAGTTGGGGCGAGTTTTCTTTACCTGCCGACGAGAAATTTTATTAGCACGGCCTTCTCTTCCCAAGTCAATGTCAACTTTAACATCTTCAGTGGATCTCCCCAGTAAAACCTGTGAGAATTGAACAAGGAAAATTTATCCAAATTCCCATCTTCTACATTACATTTAGTAATACAAAGTAATAAATATGTCATATTTAACACTCGTAATTCAATAATGTTCTATGAGTATTAAATAAAGTGAATAGAACTACAATTTCAATACGCTGTGTACAACTGTAAATGAGCTGAGTTGATTTGAACTAAGCTTTGCTTTGTTTTTCATTGAACTATGTGCAAGCGTAATTAGAACAAATTCGGCTATTATTTCTTGTTAAAAGTAATCAACCACCAATAATTAGAAAAAATATAAAGGAGAAGATATTTAAATTTTGCAAAATACTATAGTATGACCTATTTACATATATAATCTTTGCAAATATAGAATATACATATATATTCATGGGCTAAGTCAAGCCGCTGCCAGCTATATGAACTTATATGAGCTTGGCTTGTTTAACAAACTCAGCAAAATTCTCGAGTAAGCTTGGTACATACTTAAATAAATAGACACCCAAGCTCAGCTCGACCCTATGGACCAACCGCTTGTGCCCAAATCCTAGGCTCAGCTCGCCCCTTTGGCTCATGGGCTCAGCCATCCATGACCCACCTCATTTTTTCAAAAATAAATTAACAAAATAAACCAACAAACGAACAATTTTTTTAAAAATCAATAAAATAAGTCCAAAAATGAGGAACAACAAACTAGCCCACGAGCCCTCTTAGATAGCGAAAAAAAATATGAGCTCGGCTCAACCCATGACTTGTCTCAAAACGAGCCCAAGTCGGTATGAGCCAGGCCAACGAGGGCTTGGCCAGTTTGCCACCCCTATTTAAAAGAAGCCCTTTTGGGGCCTAGATAAGCTCTGAACCCGCTCATTTAAGATCGCACTGAGAGTTGAAATTGAGCCAGGTTTGGGCACACTTTCAAGCATATAAACTTCCTTGACTTAGTGAATAGGAATACAACAATTTGTCAACAACAACTGAAGAAGAAAATGAATAAGAAAGGAAAAAGGGTTACAAAAAGAAGAATTTAGGGCAAGGGAAAGTCAATTTATTTCATGTATTCAAAGATACCTATTACAATGAATAAGCTTTCTTTATATAGAACAAAGAAACAAAAATCAAAAGAATATCTAATAAACTAGAACTTTATCGAATTACTAAAACTAATCTAATCTAACATAATTTGAATTGAACTCTATTTCAAAATCACATCTATATTCTATCTCTATCTCCATCACTTAGCTTGTGTGGTTAAAAATACCATCGAATATAGTGTAAATTAAACAAGATTGTACTTTAAAGATTGAGCTTTTACGCAACAGCTTTAATATTTGATAATGCCTTCTAATAACTCATGTTTGGTGGTGAAGCACTACCAACATCATTGGACTCTATTTTAAAATCATATCTATATTCTCTCTATCTCCATCACTTAGCTTGTGTGGTTAAAAATACCATCAAATATAGTGTAAATTAAACAAGACCGTATTTTAAAGATTGAGCTTTGACGCAACAGCTTTAATATTTAATAATGCCTTCTAATAATTCATATTTGGTAATGAAGCACTACCAACATCATTGGAACCAATAAGATACAGGTTTTCCCCAAAGAAACCTTTCTTGTCTTAAGGAACAGGTACCCTAGGCCAACATCTTATGCATTAATGATGATTAATTAGTCTTCAGTGTAAACCAGTGAGGCTGTATGTGAAAACTTTATCACGATATTCTCAATATTAAAAGTGTATATTCATATTGATGCTTCACCGAACTTAGGTTAAACATTGGTGCAGGTTGAATTTACTATTTTTAAGAAGTCCCTCATATTTACTTACAAAATGTGAATAGAGAACGTGACTAAGACCATGAACAAAAAACAACTATTGATACTGTCTGCTTGAATAATTTATGGGAAGAAAACTAAGAGCACCTGAGGTTTCATAATAAAGTGCTTTGACCTGCGACCATACAAAACAGCAAATGCTCCCTGCGCTGCTATAGCTCTCTGCATATAAGCATCAGCAGCCCGCTCCAGTCTTATTATTGTTCTCTTAGTTTCTTCTTGTTGATATCTTAGGACTGACAAATTGAGTCAAAATAACTTAGTACTTGTTCAAAAAAGCTTAAAAAGTTGCTAAAAGTTAAGGTCAAAGTCAATTAATTTTAATCAATCATTTCATGGGAGGACAATTTTATCAACTTTTCACCCATACATTTCTTCAACTTTTATCACAATCTGCTAAAACTTTTATCAAAAGCTTTGTCAATCAACCCCTTAATGTAAAAATCACATAATTATGGAATTAAAAACAGTTATATACAGATGAAGGAAATAATTTTTTAACAACTCTGCCAATAAAATGCATCCAAAGGAGTTTTATCAAATAAAAATTAAAGAAATTTTTGAGGAAATAGGAGAACAGGGTCGCAATATGTATAAGTTGCCAACTTATAAACTAAAACAAACAGTCAGCCATGCTGTAAGATGCAACCAACCTGAGAATGCACATGAAATCTAAAATAATGTAATCGATCAACTTAGATGGCAAAAAAGAAATCATTGTATAACTTTCAATTAACTGCAGTTTCTGATACAAATAGGAAATAAATCATTGAGTACATGCAATGCAACAGAGAACTACCTTTCTGATTTGATTGCAAAGAAAAATCGTCTGGACTCAAGTCCATATCGAGAATCTGCAAGTATCAGGAAAGAAAGGAAAATTGAGGTACAAGTAAAAAACAAAGAGGAAGTAGTAAATTAATAAGACTTCACAATTTATTACCATTGCTTCAACATCAGAAAAATAAGGCATGTCAAAATCATTCTCAGAACAGAAATCGTCCTGATCTGAAGGTGTAGGTTTTTCATTCAGTTCTTGGACCATCATTTTTACGGAACTCAAGTCAACATTTGATTCTCCATTATTTGAAACTGTAATTTTAGCATCTACTTCCTTCTTACAGCCGATGGAAATCTTCTGAAAGCTTTGAATGCAGTCTGGACCAGAAGTATGCCTATCTAGAAGAAGACCAGCAGTGTTGTGATCAAGACTCTTTGCCCGTTCGATTGTACTAGCATTTAGCGACCTGTTCTGACTCAGACCTTCACTATTTTTTGCATTCCTTACCCCAGCATGTTGGATATTACTGTTGGGCAACTCAAATTTAATCCGATGATCACAAATTGGATGGTTTAAGCCCATTTCAGGCTGCTGCGGGAGCCCCAATATGAGAGGAAGAACATGGGATTCTTTTCTTTCGTTCTTCATCAAACTAGGTCCTCCAATTGCTTTTTGAGTACTTGGAAAGTCCTTCACGACCGAGTGCAATGGATGATAAGCATCATGAAGTCCCCAATTCATCCCTGAGGAACTAGATGGTGATGGACACCTGAATGGTAGAAAAACATCATCGTTGCTAGGAACTTCTGCATCCTCGGAGTTTAATGTGCAACATATAACTCCATCACGGTATTCAGGACCAAATGCTTTCACACGTGATACAATAGGAACTTGAGCTGTTGGAAGGCAATTCTGATTGTTGGAATGAAGCTGCCCTTTCTTACTCAAGTCTTCGAGACATGTACCAGTACTAACAACAGTAAACTCTCCATCTGGAGTTACCAAGCCCTCTGATACACTGACATTAGGAGAATCCAATAAAAGTGAACTCAAACCATCAAAATAAGACTTATTGGTTGTATCGTTTCCATCAGCATCCATAAGTAGAAGCTCCTCTTTTGTGAAGTCAAACAAAGTACTGGATAGTTGCTCAAAGTAGTCCTCTGTGCTGGTGGTTAAATTTTTCATGTTATCACAAGGCATTAGATTTTGGAAATCAGTGTTTGGGTGAAGAACATCATATCCTAGTGCGCTTGTGTTATTAGCATCACCAGAATGGGGAAATAAGAATGTGTCTCCTATTTGCTGGTCTTTCTCTCCAAGCTGAAATGACAGAGTGGGTGCAGAAATGCCCTCAACATTACTCCAAATTGCCATTTGAGGTGGGGACGAAGAATATCCAAAATTATGAAATGCGCCTTCAAATTCAGAGGTCACATTTGCTTCACTATCATTAATATCACTGGATACAGCTGGATGATTGGCCTCTAAACTCTCGCCCTCAAATACATCACAGACTGGCAATTCATTTGATTGGCTGAATACAGGAACAGAGTTTTCATTCCCATGGAGAGAAATATTTTTTTCATACGTAAGACAAAAGCTATGAGACAAATCATTCCCATCAAATGGAAGATGTTCGTCATTATTATTAATGGAAGGGGTAACATCATGGCCAGTTTGCTCAGCAGCAGCAGTTGTGAGTTCTGGTAAGGAACAATGTACGATGTTAAGGTCGGGGTCTTCAATTTCAAAATGACTTGGAACCGAAATCATATTTGCAGAAGGGAGTTCATTCCCATCTCCAAAATTCATATGCCCAGGACCACTAAGAAAATCAACATCCATCACGTCAAATGGTTCATTTGAAATTCTCTTTCGCATAGCATAGTAAAATTTACGAATGCTTTCAGATTTTCGCTTCCCTAGAATGCAGTTTGTCTCTTTTCTACTCTCCATCCGATTAGGTTTAGATGGAAAAGTAGAAGCAGAATGCTCAAACTCAATCATGCAACTTGATGCCTCTTCAGAAACAACAGGATCATAAAGGAGAGAATACCAGCGATCTTGTAGTTCCTGAACAGTAAATCTTCTAGAAAAATGCACAGCACCTTTAGCTAAAGATTCCAAAGAAGCACCAGCCTAATGCAGAAAAAGAATAAAATTAAGTTGTCCCTCTCCCTTGCTTCACATAAAAAAAGCTTTCACATCAGTAGTCCAAAGCAAAAGCAAGAATTAGAAATGATATCCCTCTCATTCTCTTTCTGTCTCTAAGCAGTTAGCCGTAAGAAGCATTAGCAAAATTTTATGAAAATGTAATGATTGAACTCGGCTTGAAACTGTAGAATAGATTTCCAAAAGGAAAGTGAGAATTATAATGCCCTTTTAATGTCATTTTTTATTGGTTAATATCGGCAAAAATGATGGAGAGGACGAAGACATTAATTGTAATTATCATTGGAGGGTCGCACTATATTTCAACTTCATTTCAGTTTTGGTCAACAACACTGATCCATCCAGAATACTATAAAGGAGATCATGCCAATCATATCTTGACCCCCAGTGTTCGTCCCTTTTATGAAGCCAAATTGAAGTTACATGGTCAAACATCAAACAACAAACAACTTGGCAACACGTAAAAACTAATGTATTGTTAACTAACAACAAGACTACCATGTTACTAGTTGGTATGGATAGGTGGTGACCGCCTCCCTTGGTTATATAGAAATTCATTTTAGCCTGTAAAATAGTGTGTTAATCAAGGATATTTGTGCTAGTCCCCATCTCGATGATGTGGACCCCGCAGTAGGACTCCTGGATTCCCCGCAAATTATGAGTCCTGACAGAATTCCGAATATGACATATTAATCTCACTCTAACCACCACATAACGACACAATCGAGTCCATGTATCTCCAGAAAACAGCATTCCAATATTGTGCACCAGCGGGGCATTTATCTCAATTCGGAAAATAACCATAAAATTACCATTGCGGATTGACAAGTTTCCATTTTATTATATGTTTCTTGATGCCATACATTATATCACATATTAAACTAAATTCTCAAACCTCCCCTTCACAATCTCGTCTATTAGAACTCAGATGATGAATTTTAAGCTTTCTAAAAATCATATCACATATATTTTCGGGGAAATAAAAAAATCAAGAACCAAACATCAACCTCGAACTTTCGCGCAATAAAATAAACCTTTAACTTGGCAACCGAAATCACAGACACAAACTGCTGAAGATAACATATAAATAAAACATGTCTCATTTATAAAAGCTTAAGCTTTTAGAGAAGATAGTTAATATGGTATTATAGCTCTCGTCATCTTTCTTTTATGAAAAAAAAAAATTCTTGTGTTAGGCTATGATGAATATACGAATCCAGCATCTACATAAGGGGCATGTTGAAAACAGCACTTCAATACGTAAATGCGTGCAGTGAGCCTCTCTTTATCCTTCAGCTTATGGTTTACCCAAAAAAGTATAAATTTCAATTAAACAAACATAAGTACAGAACAGAAAAATGAAAAAACCCAGAATATTTTTACAAGAATTGAGCCCAAACACTAATCCCACAGCACCAAAACGTATAGCTTCACAAAGAGAAAGTGGGTGAAAAAAAGAAAAAAAGGTATGATGGTTGAAATAGTTTGTACCTCAACGGCGTTTTTAAGCAAAAGATCATCTTCAGGAATCCAAAGAAAAGGCGGTGTCACAGCTCCCATTGTTTCTTCTGCAACTTTCCCTCTTAATAGTGCGCCGCTTTTTGTTTTTCCCCTTGTTATTTTTGGTCTTGTTTCTCCCTACGAGTTTTTCTTTTTCAATCTATGCGTGTGCTGGGGTTGCGGAAAAAAAGCACAAGGAATTTATATCTGGAAAAGGACTTGCGTGTGGGGTATTACGCTATGTAGAAAACATAAAGACATGTTTGGCTAGTTTGAAAACGAAAACGAAAACGTAAATTATTTTAAATAACTTTTTTATTTTCGTGATCATCTTCCGTGATAATTATATAGTTGTTTTCTACTTTTCTTTCATGTCTCTTTTTTAGGGGGTGAATTCAATTTTCAATTTTAAAGATGCACGTGTATATTGTTGTAAATAATAAGTTTATTAATGAATGACAATTGTACTTTTTCAGTTCTAAAAATTATTACAATTGTATAAATAATCTTCTCCTATAAATATATATCTTTGGTTCTCATTATAATACACATAAGTTTATTAACTTTTATTCTCTCTTATTTTATTCTCTCTTTTCATAACACGTTATCGGCACAATAGCATAATTTTTAGTAACTCAAGTTTAATATTCTCTAGGAAAAAAAAAAAAAGACTGACATCATCTGTTTCAAAAGAAATTTAAATTCTTCTTCTTATTACACATAAATCCACGGAAGGTAATGCAGGAATCAATATTTTGGTGGATATATAATCTATAGACGCCAAAGAGAATGATTATTATGATTATTTTCATTCCATGTCAATGATTTTTTTTATTATTGGATAATGATTTTTTATTTACAAGTCTGCGTGAAAGAGTTAAAAATTTTCATGGTGTCCTAAATAATGACGTGCATTTTCAAATATAATAATTTTGTATCGTGTGCATTTATATAGTTATTATGCCTACTTTTTATGTATCCATTATACAAATTCGTGGTTTACTAATATCAATTCCATGGTTAAGTATTTCGTCAATTCATGGGTTTGTGTAGGTATATAATGATTATTTCATTATATGCATAAAGATTACTTTGTTTTTTTTCATGCCTATATATGAAGTCAATTTACGTTCATGTTTGGATGATTTTTTACTATTACATTTTTGGTAATTAACTTTTCTATATAAATTCATATTATGTCTATATGGTAATTAAATATTTTTAGATATTTTTCTATAATAATTTATTATGTTGTTGCTCTGGAATAGCACGATATTATAATTAATATTTTTGTTTGCTCCTGAATAGCATAAATTATAGAAGAATATTGACATATTACTCTTGAAAAAGTAATAAATTCTTTTTCATCGAAGAGACTCTTTTTTTAAAAATAATATCGAAGACCCTCTATTTAGATATAACATCGTCAACAAACTCTCAAATTCTTGACGATATTAGAGATCTCTTTTCACGATTCAAAAATATCACTGAATTTTTTTATTTATAGTTGGAGTATCATAAACACCCCTTATGTGACAAGGTTGATCTGCGTTCCTTGTGATGGTGTCGAGATTTCTCTTCCCTAACCAGCCAATACATATTTTATGCAATTCCGGATATGAAAACACACGAATTTCTTCATCATCTTGTACGTATCATATCTTTTTTTAGATATCAATGACTGATCAATTCAAATTTTGTTTTAATAATTTAAGAAATAAAGTATTGAAATATGTAACTTATTAAATATATTTATTTTAAAGAATAAAAAGTCTATTAAAACTTATTTTAAAAAAAAATAATTATATGAAATGGAAAATACGTTATATTATAAAGTTCTCTTGAAAATGCTCTAAAAGATTTGTAACAATTAGATTCTCTAAAATCGTAAATATGATTATATGTGTTCGCTTCAAACCTTACAAGGCATGTAATTCTCGTCTGTCCAAATTTTGCCTAAATCCAATGTTTGACCATCGTGAGGAAGACCTGAAGATTTGCAATGGGAAAAACACTCTAATTTAAAAAAATATGGTCGTACATTCTTATTTTGACTATTTTTTTCTTGAACAAATCATATTAATATATTGTTAGTCGACTATTATCGTACTCGTTTCTCTTGTTGCTTGATACATAGAAGGAATAAGGCCTCAAGCATGATCATTGATGGTCATAGACCAAACAATTAGTATGATGTCTTGTTTCGTTCGCCTACCTAGATATGAAGCAAAGGTTCAAGGACAATGGGCTCGATTATTCCTATAGCTTAGTCAAATCTTTTATGTCTTTCATGAACGTTGACTTGTGACTTCCATGATAAATCAAGATAAGGGAGTTCCCAAGTATTTAAGCATGCATTTTCTAAAGTCTACCTACAATATGAATTATTTACTCGACATACACGTGTTTAGAGAAGAGCAGTAAATATAATGCATCCTACTTTATCGAGCAAGAACATGTATGGCAAAGCTTAAAAAGTAAATTACTATTCAAGTNTCATAATCCTGTTTGCAAGTTGTTGGGGGGCGAAATCTGTCTTAAGGAGATTTGCTTTGGCATACATCGCTTCATCTTCTTCTTTTTTCCGTTTTTCCTGCTCTTTTATTTGTTCTTTCGATTGGGATAGTCGAATTTCCGACAACATATAATGCATCCTACTTTATCGAGCAAGAACGTGTATGGCTAAGCTTAAAAAGTAAATTACTTTTGAAGTAATTTTCCATGTAAGGAACAATGCAAGTTTCAAATTAGTGGAAGTTTGAATTAAGTAAGTTAATTATTGTCATTAAATAAATTTTACTTTTGAAAGAAGTAGGATTTTTTACTTATAAGAAAAATTAATTTTTCAAAAACATTTTAGGATATGTTATTTAAAAGTAATTTTGCTTCCTATTCGGCAGCCCTATTTTTAAAATTTATTTTTTCAAAAATTCATTTTCAACCGTATACTTCATGAGATCCACAACTTTTATCAAATTCTCAATCACACATTTATTATTATTTTTTTTATGAAAATATACAAAAAAAAAAAAAATGATATTTAGCTAAGCTAAATGGGAACTTTATGTTTTATTTTTAACTTTAAACACAATAAATTCATTGATTGGAATTATTTGGTGATTGATAGTTCATACATGCTTGAAAATTATTTTTTATAGTTACTTTTAATCAAATTTACTTTTCATTTATATATTTTGTAAAACTCATAACTATCACCGCTTAACCTTTGTTTAACCCCATATTTTTCAAAACACACTTTTAAACATATATGTCATGGAATTTACAAATTTTATTAATTGTTTTAAGATACATTTCAACTTCTTTTATATAAATCTACTAAAAATCTGATTTTTAGCTAAATTAAACGGAGGTGTTAGAATTTGAATGTGACCCGAATTTCTTAATGAAATAATTGAAGAATTCTAATTGAAATGTACGTCAAGAGGAATTTAGTTTGAAATACTACTGAAGTCTTATGTCAAATTGAAGTTTTATTTTGGAAACTCATTGGAAGTTGAAATTAGTATTGGACCTGAAAGTGAATTCGGAATGGATACTATTGGAATTTTTTGGCTGAGACCCAGTGCTTGGCGCCAACTGTCTGTTCCGGGTTTTTTGCATTTTTCTCATTTTTCGTTTTGGACTCGATTTTTTGACACTGTACTTTATCAACAACTCTACCAAGAGGTTTGAAACCCTACATATTTCCTATAAATATTATACTCTTGCATTCAATTTCATAGTGTGAGAAAAATTATTACTAACTTTTAGGATCATTGTAATATTTATTCATTTTTATTATTTGTGGTGAAGTAAAATCTCATTATTCATGTGCCCTATTTTCTCGTCTTTTTTTATATTATTGCATGCGATCAAATACTTCATTATTGTGTCATATAATTTCAATATTTCGATCTAGTGGTTGGTTTCATATCAAGTGGTATCGAGCGATACACGATCCTTGAATTCTCAACAATTGGTATCAGAGATTCTGAGCATTATTAATACTATATAAGTTTATTATTCATATATTTTGTAAGAACCGTAATGTATAATGAATAAAGATATGTCTACAGGGCCATTCGTCAAGCATGATTCATGTATAATTAATTAAATTTTAATTTTCCATTGTTTGGTCCTCATAATTTTCAAAATACATTTTTCTCTCTCTTACTTTTAATCGCACATTTTTCAATAAAAAAAAATTACGCAAACTCAAAAAAATTAATAGTGCGGAACATGCCTTGATTCTTTAGGAATAATTATTTAATATTGGATATTGAATCTTAATTATTGGTTTTTTTTTATTTTTAAGTTCTTGATCTTGATTTTGGATTCTTGCTCTATAATCTTAATTGTCTTGTTCTTCGATTTAATTGTTTAAATCATTCTTTATTATTCTTTTTTTTTTTTTTGCAATCGTTATTTTTTATTTTGTATTTTGGACATTCCTCTTCAATATGCTTTATCTTATATTCCCGTGTTAATGAGATGACACAAAGAATGAGAAGTTGCATATAAATTGTGGATCATAACCCTATTTATAGTTTTCATATGTATTTGGTACATCGTCAAATACAATCATAATGGATTCGATCTCTACACGTATAATTTAGTCCACACTTTATTTAGATGTCTAAACCCAACCATTTAATTATTTATTAAATCACTTTAATTTGGCTCAATTTTAAAATAATTTTATACACAATTAATTACATATGTAGGCTTACTTGTATTGTAAATGAAGACATCATTTTTATCCCATGAAAAAGAGGGAAACGATGAAATAGAGAAGAGAATGTTAATGAGAAAGAAATATTGATCTTCTTTTAAAGTTGATAATAAATCGCGACTCTAAAAATAGTAAAATTGATTGGCACATTACAAGAAATGGTTGGGTTCATGAATCTCATTACATATGGTTACCAATTAATTTTCCCTTGATTGATTACTCTTTGTTCTTGAGGATGGAATTATTCTATAATACTTCGAAGTTTCTTATAAAAATGTTGTGTATCTTGTCGATTGTATTAAGTTCAAAAATTGGGTCTTTCGATAATTTACACAGGTCTCTTGATTGATTAATTTGTTTATTTTCACGGATTTTTTCATTTCATTTTTCGATTTTGTACCATTTTATGATAGAACTATTCCTAGATGTCAATATCAAATTATAACATTATACACCTAATTTTCTCCTATTCATCCACATGAATAATATTCTTCGCCAATAATTCAGTGAAATCTCATTAATGCTTCCATGCACGTAGTAGCGATATCTGTAAACCAGTTGTCTGTAAGGGTAGCATGATCCTAATTTTATTGGGCAACGGAATGTACTATGGTTTGACTATTGACCAAGGAATGTACATTGCGCAAGACCCAGCTGGCAGTGTACTACCAAAAATAGAAAAAGAATAATGGACTTCCCAGATTTTTTTTTTAAATAAATACTCACTTATAACAAATATATGTTCTGGCACGTTTTAAATTTGCCAAGGCCTGAAAATTGCAGCTATAATTTTGAAGTATGGCTGTTGTATATTTGCAAAGGGCACCACAAATCAATTTAGCTCTCTCTCTAGTGGTGTGAGTGTCTCTTACCAATTACCATATCCCACCAATGTTCGACTCTTCCTTTTGCATATTGCAGAACGATAAGGGGGCTCATTGCCCCCGTACTCGATCCGAGGTTAATTTTCTTTACTTCACCCCAACCCCAATTAAGCGGAAAATTCCCTTGTCACAAGGGGTTGGTAAAATTGCCATCTTTAGTCAAAGTGTTAAACCTTTATGAAATTTTAAAATTTGAAAATCTAATTACTTTATTGTTAAAATTCTTCACGTCAAATCATCAAGAAAATTAATAGTGCGGAACATGCCTTGATTCTTTAGGAATAATTATTTAATATTGGATCTTGAATCTTAATTATTGTTTTTTTTTATTTTTAAGTTCTTGATCTTGATTTTGGATTCTTGCTCTATAATCTTAATTGTCTTGTTTTTCGATTTAATTGTTTAAATCATTCTTTATTATTCTTTTTGCAATCCTTATTTTTTATTATGTATTTTGGACATTTCTCTTCAATATGCTTTATTTTGTATTCCCGTGTTGAAAAGATGGCACAAAGAACGAGAAGTTGCATATGAATTGTGGATCATAACCCTATTTATAGTTTTTATATGTATGGCACATCGTCAAATACAACCATAATGGATCCGATCTCTACACATATAATTCGGTCCACACTTTATTTAGATGCCTAAACCCAACCATTTAATTATTTATTAAATCACTTTAATTTGGCTCAATTTTAAAATAACTTTATACACAATTAATTACATATGTAGGCTTACTTGTGTTGTAAATAAAGACATCATATTTATCCCATGAAAAAGAGGGAAACGATGAAATAGAAAAGAGAATATTAATGAGAAAGAAATATTGATCTTCTTTTAAAGTTGATAATAAATCGCGACTCTTAAAAATAGTAAAATTGATCGGCACATTACAAGAAATGGTTGGGTTCATGAATCTCATTACCAATTAATTTTCCCTTGATTGATTACTCCTTGTTCTTGAGGATGGAATTATTCTATAATACTTCCATGTTTCTTATAAAAATGTTGTGTATCTTGTCGATTGTATTAAGTTCAAAAATTGGGTCTTTCGATAATTTACACAGGTCTTTTGTAAGTGTAAATTAATTTGTTTATTTTCACGGATTTTTTCATTTCATTTTTCGGTTTTGTTCCATTTTATGATAGAACTATCCCTAGATGTCAATATCAAATTATAACATTATACACCTAATTTTCTCCTATTCATCCACATGAATAATATTCTTCGCCAATAATTCAGTGAAATCTCATTAATGCTTCCATGCACGTAGTAGCGACTAAAGAAAACATCTCTATTTTTTCTCCCCGAAAATTCCTTAAAATTTTCTTGTGCGTAATCTTCGATTGGTCTTTTCTCGGTTCACATTGGATAAAATGGAAATAACATATAAAGAAATAATATTTGGAAAATCATATTTGAGAATAATTTTTGTTTCTCAAATAAATAGAAATAGAGAGTAAAAAAAAAAAAACTCCCCAAATTAGTGAAATCCGACGTTTTAACAGTCAGATCCAAGTAGATCCACCAGCAGACACAGAGAGAGCGTAGGACAGTCACTCTATTTGTATTCGCTTCTTGATCTACAACCCCTACGCTACTCGCTCCCCTACCCTGTCTAAACCCTCGTTCGATCCCGTAACGGAAATGCCAAATTTTGCTTAGGTATTAATCGGAGCATGTAACAAGGGTTTTCCAATTTTTATCGAAAATTTAGATCTCAGTGTAATTGCGCGAAGGAAAATAATTGAGGAGAAATGTTGACCAAGTTCGAGACAAAGAGCAATAGAGTAAAGGGATTGAGTTTTCACAGCAAGAGGCCATGGATCTTGGCGAGTTTACACAGTGGTGTGATTCAGTTGTGGGATTATCGTATGGGCACTCTCATCGATCGATTTGATGAGCACGATGGACCCGTCCGCGGCGTCCACTTTCATAAGTCTCAACCCCTTTTTGTATCTGGAGGTTTGATTTGTATTTATTTTTATCTGGTTTTGTAAATTTAACTGTTGGTACCTTGATCTCTGCTTGATTTTGTGTTATTGTGTGTATTTTGGATTGCTTAGGGTGATTTAGTCTGGATGTGCTGGTTTGTGTGGCAGTTGATGTTTGATCCTTGGAACTTTTTGATCCGGAATCATGTTATGAAATCCTGTTACCGTTTTGCATTTGGTGATCTATACTTGCTGTATATTATTATATTATAATTGAATTCGAGTTCTGGCATTTGGTTGCATGTATTTGTAATCTACTAATGCACAAGTGATGTGAGCAAGTAAACTGATTACCTTCCCGTCAGGTTGCGAGTATTAATTTTTTTTTTTTCCCATTTACCTAGTGACCTGACAATGTGCACCAATGGAATTCCTTTTAAGCAATGAAGTTTTTCCCCCGTTTCTTTGGAACTTGGTAGGACACGCTATTTAACTAGTATTACTGTGTAACTGAATTTGGATACGTGATTTGTTATTCAACTAATGAGACTTGGGTTAAATTGCACATTTTGATTAATGTTCTTTAGTTCATTACGTAAAGTATGCCCCCATTGTAGATAATCCAAATTTAATTATGATGGTTTTACCTTATATTAATTTGGGGTGTTTTGTTGAATTGGTGATCTAGTATTGGGGTTAATTATTTTCTGTTGTTTGGTGGCTATAGAATGCAGTGCTGGATACCTTTAAGTTGGATTTTCTTCATCAGGCTAGGCTGGAGAATCTCGATCCCTAAAACATTGATTAGTGTGTTATTGTAATCAAAACTAGCCAAAGATTTTCCTTATATAACTATGGAATGATGGGAGCTAAGTCAAATTGAATCAAGGAAATGGTCTATTCAGTTTTCTTCAACTTGTTCTTCCTTGATCTATAACTTGAAAAAGATCTATTTTATAGCTGTTCCTTCCGTTCGTCTAAAGAGTTTTTGCTTATTATACTGGACCAGCTATGTTCTGTGAGACTGTTTTGACTGGTTTGTTTTTGGGATTTATCATCGAGTACATGTTTTCTGGTTTATACTGATACTGGTTTTTGCAGGAGATGATTATAAGATCAAGGTTTGGAATTACAAGTTGCATAGGTGTTTGTTTACTCTACTTGGACATCTTGATTATATCCGAACTGTCCAATTTCATCATGAGAATCCCTGGATCGTCAGTGCTAGTGATGATCAGACAATCAGGATATGGAACTGGCAATCGCGCACTTGCATTTCTGTTTTGACGGGGCACAATCATTATGTGATGTGTGCCTCCTTTCATCCAAAAGAAGATTTGGTTGTTTCAGCCTCTTTGGATCAGACTGTTCGTGTTTGGGATATTGGTGCGTTGAAGAAGAAAACTGTTTCTCCTGCTGATGACATCCTACGACTAGGTCAGATGAACACAGATTTCTTTGGTGGAGTTGATGCTGTCGTTAAGTATGTTCTAGAAGGCCATGATCGAGGTGTTAACTGGGCTTCATTTCATCCAACACTCCCGTTGATTGTCTCTGGAGCAGATGACCGCCAAGTGAAAATCTGGCGCATGAATGGTATACAAAGCTTGATCTTTGATTATGTTTGCCTCCAGTCACTTCCCAGCATGATCTTTTTATTTTTTTCTGCTTCAAGTCACTCTGCAATATCATTTTCCCAGAGTTACTTAATATGCTCTAGAAAAAAAGAGATTCTAGACGTGCCGTTATTATTATTATGTAATTTTGGATTTCAACGATGATAGCAAAACCCTTTATTTTGACAGTTTGGCACTAGGTATTGAGTACAATAATCTCTCCTTAGTTATGATAATTAAGGAAACCTTTCTTTTGGTTTTCCGTACCACCCATGCAAGCATTTTCTGTCAAATACGTTATAGTTGGTTGTATTTTGCGACTTTATCTCTGTTATTTGTTCTTATCACTTGTGTGTCAACATGAAGTTGCATGGGAGAATATTTATTTTTTCAATTTTGTACACTCGTATATATTGACAGACAATTTAATGAGTGATAGAGGCTAAAAGTGGAATATTTAAAATTAGGTGATGAAATTAGCTGAAGTTGCAGTCAATCAAACTAATGACTAATAGAAAGGAGGTTATTCTAACATTGTACTATCTGTTAGGAATATCAACTTCCAAGGGGAGATTTCTTGAATTGATTTTGTTTCTCACACTAGATCAAACATATGAGTCTGTGAACTTTCTTTTTAGGGAGATTCTTATTAATTAATCTTGCATGACTTCAATCTAATTATTATAGGATATTTATTTTAGAGGACTAATAGTTTTTTGAGTATTGAATTGTTCCTAACTCATTTCTATGTTCTCAGATACAAAGGCTTGGGAAGTGGACACGTTGAGAGGGCACACGAATAATGTGTCATGTGTTTTGTTCCATGCAAGACAGGATATCATCGTGTCAAATTCAGAAGATAAAAGTATTCGAGTTTGGGATGCTACTAAAAGAACTGGTCTGCAGGCTTTCCGCAGGGAGCATGACAGGTTATGGATCCTTTCAGCTCATCCTGAGATGAATCTTCTAGCTGCTGGTCACGACAATGGCATGATAGTGTTCAAGTTGGAGAGAGAGCGTCCTGCTTTCTCTGTTAGTGGTGATTCTGTGTTTTATGTCAAAGACCGATTTCTGCGTGTTTACGAGTATTCCATTCAGAAAGACACTCAGTTGATACCAATTCGCCGGCCTGGTTCTAATAGTTTGAATCAAGGGCCTCGAACTCTTTCGTACAGCCCTACTGAGAATGCTGTTTTGGTCTGCTCAGACATGGATGGGGGATCATATGAACTCCATATTTTACCCAAAGATAGTTATGGTAGAGGCGATACAGTTCAAGAGGCAAAAAGAGGTAGTGGGGGATCGGCTCTGTTTGTGGCTCGAAATAGGTTTGCTGTGCTCGAGAGTAGCAACCAAGTCTCAGTTAAGAACCTGAAAAATGAGATTGTCAAGAAGAGCATTCTTCCTCTTGCTGTTGATGCAATATTTTATGCGGGCACTGGAAACTTGCTATGCAGGGCTGAGGACAGAGTTGTCCTTTTTGACCTCCAACAGAAGATTGTTCATGGGGATCTTCAAACTTCTTTTGTTAGGTATGTTGTTTGGTCACAGGACATGGAGAGTGTTGCTTTGCTGAGTAAACATTCAATAGTCATTGCTGATAAGAAGCTTGCACACTGCTGCACCCTTCGCGAGACAATCCGTGTCAAGAGTGGAGCATGGGATGACAATGGTGTATTCATTTATACAACACTTACACATATTAAGTACTGCCTTCCTAATGGGGACAGTGGAATTATAAAGACGCTGGATGTCCCAATGTACATCACGAAAATCTTTGGCAGCACGATATTTTGCTTGGACCGAGATGGGAAAATTCGTCCCATCATTGTCAATTCGACTGAATATGTTTTTAAGCTATCCCTGCTAAGGAAGAGATACGACAAGGTCATGAGCATGATTAGGAACTCAGAACTCTGTGGGCAAGCAATGATTGCTTATCTACAGCAGAAGGGCTTTCCACAAGTCGCCCTTTATTTTGTGAAGGATGAAAGGACTCGCTTCAACTTGGCGCTTGAAAGTGGGAACATCGAAAAGGCACTTGAATCTGCTAAAAAGATTGATGAGAAAGATCACTGGTATAGACTAGGGGTTGAGGCCCTTCGCCAGGGTAATGCTGGGATTGTTGAATATGCTTACCAGAGAACCAAGAATTTCGAGAGACTATCCTTCCATTATCTGATAACTGGAAATTTGGACAAGTTGTCGAAAATGGTGAAAATTGCCGAGGTCAAGAATGATGTGATGGGACAGTTCCATGACTCTTTGTACATTGGTGATGTCGGTGAGCGTGTTAAGATTTTGGAGAATGCCGGTCATTTGCCCCTTGCATACCTCACAGCCTCAGTCCATGGGCTCCATGACACTGCCGAGCGTCTAGCAGCTGAACTGGGGGAGAATGTTCCTTCTTTGCCCAAGGGGAGGAGAGCTTCTCTTTTGATACCCCCAAGTCCTGTCTTGTGTGCTGGAGACTGGCCTTTGTTGATGATCAGTAAAGGGATTTTTGAGGGCGGTCTTGACGAAACAGTCAAAGATGCACATGAGGATTATCAGGAGGCTGCAGATGCTGATTGGGGTGAGGCTTTGGATATTGGTGAGGTCGAGAACTTGCAGAATGGAGATATTAGTATGGTACTGGAGGAAGAGAATGCAGAGGAAGAAAATGAGGAGGGAGGATGGGATCTCGAGGATCTGGATTTACCTCCTGAAACACCAAAGACTGCTGCAACTGCTCGTTCTTCTGTATTGATTCCTCCCACTCCAGGTATGCCAGTAAGTCAGATTTGGGTGCAAAAATCATCACTTGCTGCTGAACACGCAGCTGCTGGAAACTTTGACACAGCAATGCGTTTATTGAGCCGACAATTAGGGATAAGAAACTTCTCCCCTTTGAAGTCATTATTTCAGGATATTCACATGGGCAGTCACACTTATTTACGTGCCTTTTCATCGGCCCCAGTGATCTCGGTGGCAGTTGAGAGGGGTTGGAGTGAGTCAGCAAGTCCCAATGTGCGTGGCCCCCCTGCACTTGTGTTTAATTTTTCTCAATTGGAAAAGAAACTCAAGGCCGGTTACAAGGCAACAACTGCGGGAAAATTTTCTGAAGCACTTGGACATTTCCTGGCTATCCTTCACACAATTCCCCTGATCGTGGTCGAAACAAGAAGGGAAGTGGATGAAGTTAAGGAGTTGATTATCATTGTAAAGGAGTATGTACTGGGTTTGCAGATGGAACTCAAGAGGAGGGAATTGAAGGACAATCCGGTTCGTCAGCAGGAACTGGCTGCATATTTTACCCACTGTATTCTTCAGACTCCGCACTTGAGACTAGCATTATTGAATGCAATGACTGTTTGCTACAAGGCACAGAATCTAAGCACTGCAGCCACCTTTGCTAGGCGACTTCTGGAAACCAATCCTACGGCTGAAAACCAAGAAAAATTGGCCCGCCAAATTCTACACGTGGCTGAGAAGAATATGAAGGATGCCATCGATCTGAATTATGACTTCAGAAATCCTTTCGTAGTGTGTGGAGCCACCTACGTGCCAATATACCGGGGCCAAAGGGACGTAACGTGCCCATACTGCAGTTCACATTTTGTTCCATCCCAACAAGGGCAGCTTTGCACTGTTTGTAACCTTGCAGAGGTAGGATCTGATGCATCTGGCTTACTGTGTTCTCCTACACAGATTAGATGATTTAGCGACGACATTCTTTTAATGATTTGTTCGTTCGTGTGTTTTCACTGGCGAAACTGGTTAAGTTCGTTGGCAGGTGCTGGCTCGATAAACAAACAGATAGGAGCAGTAGAAGTAGAAGACCCAAGGTTTTCATATGGATTATATCTTCGATCTGTTTTTGCACTCAGTTTTTCTTCGATCCCCACTATTGTTTTGATAATTACAGTTTCATTTGTAATATTTTTTTACTCTTGCCATTCTTACGAAATTATATTCCTGCTTGAAATATCAACTTTGTTGCCTGTTTTTACCAGGATTAATTGGATGTTAGATATTTTGCCTACCCAAAGTTTTGTTCTTTATTTTTCTCATTCGAGGTTGATGCGAATTTAGAAGTGTATATGGTATGTTTGGTTGATATTAACAAAAGTACGATTACTTTCTACTAGTTCTTTTTCTCTAAACATATTTTAACAACTTTTTTTCCCCTACACGGAATACATACAGTGAACTTGTTTGGCGCCAAATCATATATAATTTAATATGTCACGTGAGTCTACATATATAATTAAGGGGGAAAAAAAACCATATTTCAGGACTTAAGTTTAAGCCAATTCAATTTTAAGAGAACAAATTTACATTTTCAAAACCCAGGTAATAATAAAATTCTATTAATTAAATAAATAATTATTTATAAAATAATTCCAATCTCTTTCCAGTTTGGGCCACAGTTACCTTCATATATAAAATAATTATATATGAATTATAGCTTGTGACATGTGAACTATAACATGTAACCATTTAAGATTGACCTGTGAACTATACATGTGACCTCTGACCCGTGAACATCTGTAACCTATACAATATGACTTGTGAACTATACATGTGACCTTTGACCCGTGAACATCTGTAACCTATACAATATGACTTGTGATCTGTGAACTATAATATATGACTAATTAATATCGATATATGAACATAAATTAGTGATTTGTGATTTGTGATCTATGACATATAACAAGTTAACAAAACATGTGACATGTTATTAGTTCACATGTCACACCTTATTTATTAGTCACAGATTAACACAATTTATTGGTCACAAACCTTGTTTATACCTAGCACCACCAACCACCACCACTGGAACCATCATTATCACCATTAACATCTTCACAACACATCGAATCAGACAATCACCCACAAAATATCAACAAACCACACTACCGCCACCACAACTACCACCGGGGACTTGTGAGTGTTAACAAAATGAGCAACGTAACGAAATTAAGTCGGCAAACCGAGGAAAGTGCATAAAGAAATGCCACACTACTTATGACAACTTTAGAGAGAGAGATAATAATGGAGAAGAAAAAATTGGATAGAGAGAAATTAAATCATAGAAAGAGAAAAGAGATAGTTTATGGGGTGGGGTGGGTAAATTTTATAATAATATTATTAATATTAATAGTTGAATTATGATACAATTTATAATTAATTAAACCTTACACCTGATTTTAGCAATGTAATATTTAAAAACAGGCTGCAATGTAATATTTAAAGTTATCTAAGAATTAAAGTTAATTGACTTTGGTCATCTAAATAAAGTGTTGACCTAAATATGTGTAGTGACCTCCATTAAGGTTGTATTTCATGATGGGTTATGTTCCCCAATTCATATGTGATTTTTATTCTTTGTGCCATTCAATCAATACAAGAATAATCAAGATAAAACATATTGAAAAGTGAGATCAACAACCCGCAATCAAAAGTCAAGAATAAAGAAAAATAATTGAATCAATCAATATTTAAAAGCAAGAAGTAAAAGATTCGAGAGATTACAAGTTTATCTTCAAGATTCAAAGTCATGGATCATTGTATGTTCCGCATTAATTATTTCTCTTGATGCTTTGACATAGAGATTTTGGCAATTCATGAAGTTTCAACCTTGGCAATGCTGAAAGGCACCGAGGAATGGTGCATTAAATTTGGTCACGTACTCTTTAATAAGAGCTGACCTGACTTCCGCAAGTGTTTTTCACCTGCTGTGTTGTATTATCGCTGTATGTTGGTGCAGCCCTTTGTTTACTAGATATTCGAATTCCATATGCACAACACAACACAGAATTTAGTGCAAATGAAAGAACTATTAAAACATCTATGCAATAAATTTTTAACTTCGAAGGTAACATTAGCTCGAGTGTAAGTGTGTAACGATTACAGACGAGGAAAATTCAAAGAAGGAATTTTTGCATTTGAATGGTGTATACTTTCTGCGAAAGGACAAGATATTTAGAGAGTGTTCATGATCAATGTGAACAACCTATAAGTCTATTCAGAACAACAAACAGATATGTTTGTTATAGTCGATCACAATTGATTGCAGACATCTGTTACATGTCATACATCGATCACAGGTCATAAACGTCGTCACAAATTGACATCGGTTTAAATACACGCGGACCCCACGTATTATGTGAGAGGGGGTAATCCATTATGTACAAATGGATTAACCCATAATGTTAATCATCTTGCAGAGTAAAAAATAAATATGCCTGATAACGTTAATTTCGGAGTTCGAGTCCTACTTAAAATAGAGTTCATAGTAGCTCAAATGAAAACCATTTCCAACAAATATTGGGATTATGAAGAGATCACTTTGATCTTAAATTCAATATTTTACTCCTTTCAATAAATATCTTATAAAGATATTCTGTTTTAGCACTAAGATCCTCAAGAGATCCCTTGAACTTCAACTCCTCATTTTATCTAGGGATGAGCTCGGGTCGGTTCGGTTTGATTTTTTTCGGTTTCAGAAATTTTCGGGTATTTAGTAAATGGAACCGTCGGTTCCAAATATAATTTTGGAACCGTTCGGGTTCGGTTCGATTTGATTCTATTCGGCTCCGTACTATAATTAAATTTTTTAACATTTAAAATAATACTACATAAATACAACTGAAAGTAGATACTAATATTAATAACGAAAAGTAGATATAAATACCAAGTTCAATCTTAACTTTTACAAATTAACGTAATCTAATTTAATAACATATAAATAATAAGTTGTCAAATACAAATACGAAAAAGTAAATATTACTAATAAAATTTCGATAATTCATATCAATAATTCATTTGCTTCAAATATTCAAGTCTACATAAAAATGAAATATAAATTAGAAGTAATAAAGATAAAATATTTTAAAGTATTGATAATACTTACCAACTATTTAATGTAATAATCAGTTGCTTGACTTTCCATACTAACTACTAAGAGACTATATAAGAAAAAATTGAAAAAAACACAACTAACAAATATAAATAAACTCTAAATTGTTCAACTAATAAGATTTAATAAGAAAAAATTATTAATTTATTTAAAAAAATAAAAGAAATTGATTATCCAATATAAAAAAAAAAAAATTTGATTCTTATTCGATTCTTCGATTTTGGGTCTAGAACCGAGAACCGAGAACCGAACCAAACCAAACCATTCGGTTCTCGATTCGAATACCCGTTCGGGTATTTCATTTTAAAAAACTCGCTCGATTCGGTTCGGTTTGATTCGGACATTTTGCCCAACCCTAATTTTATCCCTTTAGAGAAAAAATCTCTAAGATATTCTTTTTCATTTTATGGCACGCGTGCTCGAATAATATAATCTGATCATTTTAATTTGAATCACGCCACTTTTTTTTCTATCATATTGAAAAGATGATATTTTTTCCTTATTCTCTGCGAAAAAATCATAATCATGGTTTGGGACAAAGAAAATAAGTATGTCATGCAACTTTATCTTTATCTTTCATGTTCGTAATTAACGTCTTAAAACACTTTTTTAAGGAGTCTTCTTATTACTTCATGTTTTCCAGTGCGGAAAAAAAAAAAGAAATATTGAATGGTTTAGTTAATACATCTAGGAGTCCGTTTGTGGTAGAGATTAAAATCGGATTAAAATTGAAAAATTAACCGTTATTGTTGACTTTTATTAGACGAGTGGGGTCCCAATAACGGCTATATTTTCAATTTTAATTGAATTTTAATCGGTATCAAACGGGCTTTAGATATCTTTTCCGACATTTACCACTATAAGGCCCCGTTTGATATCACACATTTTTCATGGAAAATGGAAATTTTTTTTATTGTGTTTGATAGACAAAATTTTCTCGGGAAAATATTTTCTAACTTTTCAAAATTTCCACATTTTTTTTTTGAGGAAAATAAATTCTTAATGTTTTGGTGAGTAAATATTTTCCAGTTTTTTATTTTTTATTTTTTTGGCAATTGGAAAAATTTTTAGACACAATGGTAAATTTTTTTTCACTTTTATTGACAATTTTCATGCAAAACAAAGCCAAACGAATGATATTCGGCATGATTATTTTTTGGCAATTGAAACAAATTCTAGACCCAATGGTAGAAAGCATTATCACTTTAATGGACAATTTTCATAAAAAACGAAGCTAAACGGTCAACATTTTCCATGAAAAATTATACTAATCAAATACAATTAATTACAATTCGCAGTAAAACAATTTTTAAGCAAATCAATTTCTTGTAAAACATTTTCGTTCCATTCATTTTTCACATTTGCAATCAAACGGACCCTAAGTTCTCGATATCTTTTGATAATAGTAGTTAAATAACAGTAATTACTAACTCTTGGAGACAATTTCCAGTTTAAATTTTCAATTTTTTGAAAAATTGTAAAAGCATAATAGAAACTACCATGGTTTCATCAGCATTCACCTGACTCAACTTGTTTGGGGCTAGTTAAATTGGTTCGCATCAAGTCGAGGCTCGTAGTTGGCCATCTTAAAAAGGATCATACCACTCGATATGGTGATCATCACTAGTGTGTATATATTCGTAATTCGTGATATAAGCTAACTATCAGTGTTCAGTAGATCATTGGATTAATTATACAAATGATCACTGAAATTTTGAATAATTATGTTAGTGGACACTTTCAGCTGTTCTTTTTTATAATAGTTGCTCAAGTTTTTAACTGTTACATTAAG